GAATTAATATATCAAATATATCATATATGGTCTGTTCCGAAAATAATGAAATTGATTTTTAAATTTATGTTGAAAGGACTGGGTATGAAAATTAAATAATTAATTAATTTTAAGTACTTTGAAACAGTGGAATTATGTGTATTTTTATTTATTAGTTGTATAAGAGGTAATTGCAAAACTATAATAACAGTGTGCTTTGGAAGTGCATTATGAAAATGAGATAGGAACATATTGAACAACGAATTCAATAAACCTTATGTTTATTTGCGTTTTCGATTTAGAAAACATGAAATTTGGAAAAAAAGAAAAAAACATTAATAAATACGGAATTCGTGTAGGAAGGAAGTTAATGTCATCCGATGGACATCGTATATTAGGGGTGTCACTTTATCGTTTATCATCTTTTCAACGAGGATGTCACTGTTCATTACGGTGCTGGCTTACGTACTGTTCGGCTACAAAATAACGGCCGAAAAGGTGTTCGTGATAACCGCCTATTACAATAGCTTACGTACAACCATGACTGTTTTCTTTCCGCAAGGTATATAATTGTGTTGTTGATATGTATTAAGTATACGAATGACAGATATCGACATGATGCTTGCATGATGCTTGTAGCGTTCCTTTGCTAATTTTTTCATTTTTCCTTTAATTTTTATCTCTTTAGATTTCTTATTTTTTTTACCTTTTATCTTTTCTTCTTTTTGTTTCTTTCCATTTTTTCCTCTTTTTATCTTTATTTCTTTTCCTTTTTTTCTTTTAATCTTCTCTTCGTATTTTTTTGATTATAATGATTTTATACTGAAGTACTTTATCATCTTTATATCATAAATTAGAATTCTATTTAATACTTACATCTATACGAGATTTATCCTGTCTTTATTCCCTTTTATTTATCTATTTTGTCTTTATAACACTCAGGAATAACACAAGTAGCGGAAGCGATGGTATCCATAAGACGTCTGCAGAAGTTCTTAATGTATGACGAATTAACACCTTCTAAGATTGAAACAAAGAAAAATAACACGGAGAATAACGTAAAAGAGAATAACAAAACTGCGATGGAGAATAACAGAAAAGATGATGTAAAAGAAAATAACAAAACTACGATGGAGAATAACCAAAACGACGCGAAGAAGAATCTGATTGAGCAGAAGGAGAATAATGACGTGATCGTACAGCCGAGCTGTGTCGAGCATAGCATCTGCATCGAGAACGGCACTGCCAAATGGCTGGATTATGAACGAGAAGATACCCTACAGGGTATCAACATTAAGGTGCGTCCCGGCGAACTGATTGCTGTCGTCGGCCAGGTCGGCACGGGCAAGAGCAGTTTATTGAACGTCATTCTGAAAGAATTACGTTTGCAAGAAGGTTCCATTCAAGTATGTTAGCAATTCCTCTTTAAGACATTTAAATAGATAAATACAGAATAAATAATTTTATCTATAAAAATAAATTATTTTATCAATTTATTAAATCATTCATACATGTATTTTTAATTAATCAAAATATTTAATTAATAAATATTTTAAACATATAATTATCCTTTTAAATATTTTTTTACAGGTTAATGGAAAGATTGCCTATGCCAGTCAAGAACCGTGGCTTTTTGCAGGTTCGGTGAGACAAAATATTCTATTCGGAAGAAAGATGGATCAGGTTCGATATGATCGCGTGACTAAAGTGTGTCAGTTAAAGAAGGATTTCAGCCTGCTGCCTTATGGTGATAAGACAATTGTAGGCGAGAGAGGTATCAGTCTTTCCGGTGGTCAGCGTGCAAGGTTGGTTTTACAGAATATCTTGATAAAATATGCAGGATATATTCATATTTTGAATTTTGATTCATAATCTTAATTTTACTTTAACTTGTTAATTTAATTTTTTATTATAATTATTATCTTGTGATTATTTTAGTAAATATTTTTTGTTCAAATAAAACTAATTTTATGAAGTATTTTTTTTTTAAGATTTTGCGTTGGATATATAGTTATGAAATATATTAATTATAATATACTAATTATATTGATGAGATGCTAATAATTGACAGAATAAATTTAGCGAGAGCTGTTTACGCTGATGCCGATATATTCCTCATGGATGATCCTTTGAGCGCCGTGGATGCCCATGTGGGCAAACACATGTTTGATGAATGCATCGATAAATACTTACGAGGCAAGACTCGGATTCTCGTCACTCATCAATTACAATATCTTCGCGACGTCGATAGAATTATCGTTCTTAAGGACGGAACTATTCAAGCTGAAGGGTATGAATGATTTTATTGCACTTTCTATCTTTTAAATTTGTGTCTTATTGTAATCAATAATTACAATTTCTTTGTTGAAATAAGATTACAATGACATTGAGAATACATAAATATTTTGCGCCGTTTATTTATAGTTCTTAACTTCGTGATTAAATCTTTGATTTTTTTAAATTGAAAACAATAATGTGGAATTAAAAATATAATTAGTAGACTGGAAGAGAAAAAATTATCTTGATAGTTTTCTTATCATTATATCACAATATGTATAATTCGATTATACTTTCGAGAACAATAGATTTGGTCACTTCGGCTTATCTTCCTGATTATACGACAAAATGATTGTATTTTAAGTCTTTACTTTAATCATCTATTAACGTATCAATCATTATCTTTCAACAAAAATCAATATTGACACGAAACGTTCAATGCCCTGTGGTCGAGTCAAAACAAATCTTCCATTATTTTCAGAAATCTTCCATTATTTACTCGTAAGTTTAAGCTAATATTTAAACTCACTTCTATTATTTTATATGAGTTTTATTTTCTGTTTTTTTTTTATTTTCTCAGCACTTATGATGAGCTGGGATCTATGGGAGTGGACTTTGGTCGATTGTTGGAAAATCAAACAAAAACGGATGAGAAATCTTCTCATCCCTCCTCAGCTCCCGTTAGTCGTAGTAATTCGCGCACTGCCAGTATCTCATCATTAAGTTCTTTTATGACGAATGATACTTCGAAACAGGAACCTGATGAAGTAATTAGAACACATTTTCTAACTTATTTTCTGAAGTAATATGAAATAATATGAATCTTATTAAACTAATATTGTAATTTAAGATAATTGCAAAAGCACATTTTAAGTTGCAGCAAAATATTAGTTTAGATATTCTGATAAACTAGATTTTAACATATTAGAAAAAAATATCACTATTGATAATTAACAGTTAAATAACGAGTTTCATTTTTAAGTACGCATATATCTAAAAAAAACAAGCATCTTACATTTTTATTATTAAAATAACTTTAGATTTTAACACTAAATTAATTAGTAACATAATCGTTAATTTTAGGTGGCTGAGACGCGAACTGTAGGCACTGTTTCTGGCGAAGTATATACGAGTTACTTACGCGCTGGCGGGAATTGGTGCGTTATAGCCATAGTGACTATGCTTTGTATATTGACACAATTAGCGGCTAGCGGCGGTGACTTTTTTCTCGCGCAATGGGTTAATATAGAGGAACATTATGTAAGTGCTTCACTATGCTAAAATAATCTTTTAATTGAGATGTAATCATTTTGCTAAAAGACTCGAGAAATATCTCGAAAAGTATATTTTAATATTTTTATTTTAAGTTCAAAATAGATTATTACATTTTTTATGAACTAATATGAAGCAAATACATGCTTATTACTATTATAATAGAAATACACTTATTATGTAGTTATTACATCTCTTAATCCCAATTTTACTCAAAATTGTTCTTAAAAAATATGTCTTGACTTCAAACAAAAAATTTAAATAAGAAACGATTATTGTTTAAAAGATATTCAAATTCTATATAATTCTATATAAGATATTCAAATTCTGTAATTTAATTTCAGAATTAAAGCAGAAGTTTGATGCTTTAAAATGAATGAGAGATCTCGTTCAAAGTGAAAGTGATCTCCGTAGAAAAGTTAAATAGAAACATGAATTTTATATCAAACTTAAAATCGGAAAGAAAATTACAATCCTAATTACAATCATATCATATTTAATTATGTTTAATTGTATAACATTATAGATGAACCAAACGGATGATGGTGTTGTAGAAGATTCAAAAAGTCCCCTCACTCGCATGCAGTGTATCTACATTTTCAGCGGCCTAACTGTGCTCACAATCTGTATTACTCTGATTCGCTCATGGGCTTTCTTCTGGACGTGTATGCGAGCCTCAATGCGTTTGCACGATCGTATGTTCCGCAGCATCAGTCGCGCCACTATGCGATTCTTCAACACCAATACATCGGGACGTGTGCTCAATCGTTTCTCGAAAGATGTAGGAGCCGTTGACGAGATGCTTCCAACTGCGCTTATCGATTGTCTTCAAATCGGATTAGCGCTGTTGGGCATCATCATCGTGGTAGCTATCGCGAACACGTGGCTGTTAATACCCACAACGTTAGTCGGCATTGTCTTTTATTACTTGAGAATCTTCTACCTGGCCACCAGTCGCAGTGTGAAACGTCTTGAAGGCATCAGTGAGTATCTTAAGCTTGTTTTTCAGTAGAATAATATGGTTTCCTCGATAGAATAAGATTGTAGATTGAATTTAATCAATTATTAATCTCATTGAATTGATAGATTTAAATTCTTCGGTAAACTGAATAGTATAAAATAGTGATAGTGAATAATATAAAAATTTCTAATTTTTCTCAGCCCGCTCGCCGGTTTTCGCTCATCTGAGCGCGACTCTTCAAGGGTTACCAACAATCCGCGCGTTTGGGGCGGAAGCGATCCTCACGAAGGAGTTTGATAATCATCAGGATCTCCATTCGTCCGCGTGGTACATCTTCATCGCGTCTTCGCGTGCTTTCGGTTTCTGGCTGGATGTTTTCTGTGTGCTGTATATTATGTTAGTCACACTGAGCTTTCTCGTGCTAGACAACTACAGTCGAGGTTCAATGGATGGCGGATTTGTAGGCCTAGCGATTACACAGAGTATCGGTCTCACCGGCATGTTCCAATGGGGCATGCGCCAGAGTGCCGAATTGGAAAACCAGATGACCTCGGTGGAGCGTATTCTTGAATATAGGTATTCGCTTATGGATATATATCTTATATCTCTGCTATAGTATTTGTATTACTTAGCATTATCTTTATTAATTGTTTTATTGAAATATCAATTATCTTTATTTCATATATTAGATTAAGATTCAGGAAAAATTAGGAATATAGAATTTTTCTAAATATTTTGCTCTTCGATTGTTAAATAACATCGTTAATGTTTCTCGCTTTAATTCTCTTCCAGCAAAGTGGATAGTGAGCCTTCTCTCGAGAGTGCTCCTGATAAAAAGCCTAAATCCGAGTGGCCGCAGAAAGGCAAGATCGAGTTCAAGAATGTATTCCTGCGCTACGCGCCGTTACAGCCTCCAGTGCTCAGAAATCTCTGCTTTGTCGTTCTTCCTCAGGAGAAAATCGGCATCGTCGGTAGGACCGGCGCAGGCAAGTCATCCTTGATCCAAGCACTCTTCCGCCTGGCTGACATGGATGGTTTGATTGAGATTGACGCAATCGACACGAGTCAGATCGGCTTACATGATCTCCGTTGCAAGATCAGCATTATTCCGCAGGAACCATTCTTATTCTCCGGCAGTCTGAGACGGAACCTCGATCCGTTCGATTTGTATCCAGACGAAC